TAACTCGTGTAAATACAAAAACATAAATACAAAAAGCGTCGTGTTAATGCAAAATTATGTTTTTTCAGTTATGATAAATGATATTTCAGCTATAAACACATACTACTTTGGACTGTAACAGTTATATTAATTATTTTATCTACTTGAAAAAAGAGTTATTAAAGTTCAAATCTATCTCGTTATAGGCTTACAGGCAGTTGTATCCCCTCCATCTAGCTTCTTTTATGAATAGCAAGCCTTTAAGGATTAAAAATAGCCATTTCCTCTTGAACTGCCAGACAGTAATAAAGACTCATGCAGTCATTGCCACCTGATAAGTGGTGTTTATGTTAAATCCAACCTGATCTGAATGTAGCATTATCTTAGTAATATAAATCAGGTCTTCACCACATGAAGGAAATGAGACTATTTTTATAGTATATTCAGTCAAAAACTAATTTAAAATGACAGTGATGCTTTCCTGCTAAATTATCTGAGCCGTATATCCACTGTATATACGTTTTTATAAATAGTGACAAATGATAAGTAATACATAAAGTGGTCCATAGGTTACAGTCAAGGTAAAGTTATCCTTGTAATGTTTAAAGTTCATGTATTAAAGCTTCTCATGCAAGAATATGAAACAATTCAATGGACAAGAGGAAATGTTCCCTTGTTTTATTTTGTGAATTATGGTTATAATGCAAACGGCAGAGACAGAGCTGGATGTATGTTCACAAGTGCTGAGTTGTTAATATAATGTGTGAGTGTGAGATGAAGTACTGAGTATACTGAAACACTCAAAGGAATCCCTTATATTCTTTTTTTTTTTACTTCGTCACATGTAACATCTTAAGAATTAACTCTATTGACGTGTACATTGCTTTTCAGTTCATTCAGTTGTTTGTGATATATAGGCAATTTATGTTACATTACATTTGGGCAAACTCCCAGTACTGAGCTCAGCTTCTCCATTTATCACATTTTAATATTTAAAAACACACACACGCACACATTTCCAGATCTTATTACAGCCATTTTCAATGACATGATAATGGCTCCTTTCACCGCCTTCTGTCCAATGTTTCTGCTTGTGTCTGGCACTCACACTGACGCCCGATTTCCCTTTTCTCCACAAAAACAGACAGCTGTGTTTGCAGGCTGCTTCCCCTTGCAACATTCATGTCTCTAAAACAAGCAGTAGGTTTCACAAGTCCCCTAATAAGCATGTCACCGTTTAAGATACTAAAGCCTTTAAAGATTTCACTATATCGTTAAAGTGTACAGTTTCATTCATGACCATTTGGGTGATTTAATCTTTGGTTAATCTTGGCTATATTTACTTTACGTAGTTATTACTTTGCTCCATCCAGATACAATCTGATAGCACAGGAAGCATATTTGTTACCAGGTGTCAGTGGGGGTAATTAGTGCTTACGTGGGATTTGACATATGTTTCACACCAATTAATACATGTTTTCCAAGTTGTTTCTTCCCAAAATAGTCAAGCCAATAAGATCTGAAATTTGCTCATGTCTGATCTAGGAAGGTGGTCTGCGATAAACAGCATTGGGGTCATCAATGGGTTCGGTTTTGAAGTCGACGGGCCGCAGCTTCATGATGCTGGTCTTCAGGGAGTACCACCAGCCTCTCCAAGTGTACCAAACTACACCATCATCTGTCGACGCACTGTAGTGCCCGTTGGGGTAGTACATGCCGTTGAGATGGGCTGAGTGACACCTGTAGACAGATAGAACGAAGAGGAAATTATATTTGCGTCATCTAGGGGAAGGGCAGATTCTCTTATCACGAAACCCGTACTTGTTGAACCACCAGCCGCCTTTGTCTTCCTGTGCACAGTT